TGGCCTCTGATCAGATTATTATCAGCTACTCTTGTTAAACAACAAGTGACAGAGACGTATTTAAAGTTTTGACGCCCCAGGTATAGTTTTATTGCCACCCCTACATGTATACGTATACGATTTTCAAGAAAGTTAGTTATTAAATTTAATAAATTTAACGTAAATTTATCTTACAGATATAGCGCGGATTTATATGCATTAAAAACCAACCAAATAAGCGCTAAAAAACCCCTAAATATGCATAAATATATGCACTAAAATGTTAAAATATGCACAAATAATAAAAAAATTAGCATAAAAATAATTAGCAAAAAAAAAATCTTATATCTTATATAAGTATACATATTTTATTTCCCCGATTAATTATCTAAGGTTATATTTGGGAAAACCGTTTATACTTACAAGTATACCTATTAATTTATTCTGATATTAATGGAAACTATAAAAATATAATATTTTTTTCTTATAATATAATACTATATATTTCAAAAATGTCTAAAAAAACAAAAAACATCGAAATATGCGCTAAAATATGAAATATGCTATTAAAATTGTAAAATAAGCCCTTAAAATAGAAAAATGTCAAAATATGCAAAAATATGCGCTAAAAAATTTTCATTTTTTAAATTGTTATGTTGTAAAACAAATTTTGTGCTCACTTAGCATATCATATGATCAACCAGAATAAATATACAAATGCATACAAATCCGCGTTCTACTTATAGAAAATATTATAAACATAAGTAGTTGCGTTCAAATACTACACAATAATCTGTAATATTTTTAATAAATGTCTAACGAATAATATCATACTATCTGCACATAATATATGATATCATGTCAGTGCTAACAATATTATGCAGTTATTAATATTAAATGATTTAATATTAATATGAGTAAAAGATATAGTCTTATAATATTTTAACAAAATGAACGAAACTTAAATGTTAAATTGTTATGCTTTTGTTTAAAAGTTTTCACTTAATTCATTTGCTACACGATAATTTTAACCACCGATGTTATTATTTTATAAAACTGTTATTTTATTAATGCTAGTATTATTTATATATAATATTTATAATATTATACAATATTGAAATGTATAATATACATTTTATATGGTTAATAAATAAATATTATTATTTCATTTTCTAATATTATTAGATATCAAAATTAATTATTATCTGGTAGTAACACCTTTGCCTTTATTTATACCCTAGACAAAATCAGTAAAATTTCCTGACACACACACACACACACATATATATATATATATATATATATATTTATCACTATTCTAACTTGACAAATTGTAGGCCTAGAATTTATTTTAAGTGCGAAGTTCTAAGCAATTGCTTAAGTTTTCTGCTTGCTAATAACAGAACTGAGTGTCACCAATGATTCATTTCTGTCCTCATGTTTTTGTATTTTGTCATCGTTACATATCAAAATTCTCTTAAATTATTTTTGTTAATAATTTTGAGTAATTGCATTTCATTTCTTAACCAATATGTATCGTATTTATTTATTATTAAATAATTATGTTTAATTACATACCTTTAACTTATAGTTATTCTATATATTAATATAATACCTACATTTAATATTTTAATTGTTGAACTGAAATAGTTTCTGCTAAAAGTTATATAAAGTTAATAAAAAAAAGGTCACTTAAAATATGTACAAATAAATTTAAAATTTGATATTTATGATAATATGAAGAAAAATAAGTTCTCAAATCACTGTTTTATTATAGTACATTGATTTTTTTTTTTTTTATTGAAATTTTGTTTGACAATTAGTCTCGACAATTATATTAATTATATAAACAGATATTAATATACAACGAAATTATTTATATAAGCAGCCCAGAATTGGTGATAAAAGCAATTGTTGCAAGGATAGCAGGGTGGAATTGAGAAGTAAGTATATGGTAAGAATTGAAAAGAATATTTAGAGAGTGGAGAATGGAAAAATGATGTAGACGCTCTACGTGCAGGGCAGGACATGTAAACAGAATATGATTTATATTGCAAATGACTGGAGTATGATCAAAGATGCAGAGAGGCGATTCGTTAAGAGATAGTTTAAAGGAGTGTGAAGGGAGAAGAGTGTGGCCAAAGCGGAAACGGGAAAATGAGCTGATTGCTTTGCGAGATAAATTTAAGTTATAGAGCCATGGCTTGGGTGGAATTGTAGGGTTTAATTTTTTGTACCATGTGGCAAAGTGAGGTGGAAGGTTGTTGTAAGAGTCAGACCATAAACGGTGAATGCAAGATTTAAGTTTGGGACAGAAGTCAGACCAGGCGATCGGAATATTGGACGGAAGTTGGATCGACGCTGTATTTTTGACTAAATAGTCAGCTGTTTCATTACTGGTGATGCCTGTGTGGGCTGGAATCCAGAGAAACTGTAATTCAAAACCCTTGACTTCGAGAGAGAAAAGGAGATTTATAATTAGGAATATTAGAGGGTTAGGTGGTGATATGAATATATTGGAAGAGGGAGATTGGAGGCAGGAGAGTGAGTCAGTAGCGATAAGGAACTTGTTGGGTTGTAAGGTAGATATGAGTTGGAGCGATTCAATAATGGCAGTACATTGATTTTAATTGTACTTATAAAGGTGTAAAAAATAAAATAGAGTAAGTACATCTTAATAAAATATTTAATAAACGCTGACTATAAACATAAGTGAATAATTGTGTTTTCTCTTTTTTCAATGTTGTACTGAAATATATAAATATAAATATAAAATTATAATATCTACATAACACATTTATGTATTATTATACATATGGTATAATATTTAAAATACATAATAATAATATACCATAATTTATATATACCTATAGAAGACATTTATTATTTAAACATTTATTTGACGACCCTCTGAGGGTAGAATTGTAAGATAAAGTAGAATAATTATGTGATCGGTCCTTAGGGGAATTCATTTTTAGTGCGAATCCTTGTAACATCGGTCTTCATCATTATCATTATCATCATTCACACAAATATGCATCCAGAAACATTTTGTCGTAGTACCTACGTTTACATACATTACTATGTTTTTATGGTGACATTAAATAAAAAATGGAATTCTATCTCTAGAAAATGTATTCGAGATACATATGTATATACACATTTATTTGTTCAATTATTCCTATAATTTTAAAAATTAAAATTAAAATTGTGCACAACTAATTAAAATAAACGATGGAACAAAATATGTAGATGGTAAATGTTTTCCAATGTAACTGAATCAAATAAATCGATTGAATTATTTTTAAAAGAGTTGGTTACGGATTAAAAAATTAATACGGTTAAAAATTAATATAAAATCAATATTTAAAAGAACTAAAATAATGCCTTGAAGTTTTAATTTATCTACTCTATACAATCTACTTAAATTATTTCTTCGAGGCTTTAATAAAAACTTTATATTTACTTATATTTATCTACTTATTTAATTAACGATACAAACATTGTATATTTCTAATTAATTTTATGTTAACTCAATTATACGTATCTATGGGTATTTACTGTACATGGCTGTAACTTTGGGCTATTTAATGTAATGATCTTCCTCAATTTATTGATCAATTGTAGTTGCGATTTCCAACTATGCAACGCATATTTAATTATAGTTATCGCACAATTTAAGACTAATGATGCTAAACAATTGGTATTTAGTGTTATCGTGTATCATATAATGTTAGGAATTTTAGCTTACTTTAACTGTGAATATAATGGTTTAAGTTAATGTTAAAACTTAACGGTATTATTAGTACTGTAATTATTTATAATTTTACGATAAAGTAAATATAATTTTAAGTTTATAAGCTAATTAAAGAATGATTATTATCCCAATATATCTAATTCAAACTTTAAGAAATTATATATTATACGTGACGAAACTGAATTATGAATGAAATCACATCAATAGAATTTGCGAAAATACAAGAATAACTTGAAATATAAACGAGAACTCAAAGAAATTCTCAAAATTGCAATAAAAAGAATTCGGATGGATATACATATGAAGTCATACTTTCAATAAAATTTTGATGGTTATCAAATGTTTTATTTAATTTGTATGGTAAACTTTGAAACAAGCACGATTTTTGGAAGTTTATTTTATAGATAAAATATTGATCCTTAAATAAAAATTTTTTTTGAATATAATTATAAAATTAATGTTGGTATCTATATTTTACCTATTTTATATTTTATCTTTTATTTATTATAATGATGGTTAGGTTATTATTAATATTTATGCTACAGGTTTTAAATATTAAGTATAGCTATAGTGTATTAGTAATGATAAATAAATAATACTTATAAATATTTACATTAAATTATAATTTCTTTTTGGTGAAATAAAATACATTACATATTTAACTGCATTCGATATGCTTATATAGTATGTACATGTAATAAAAAAAAAAATAGTTAGGTTTTTATCATATTGTAAATATTGGGTCAAAAATAAATTTTTATCTAAGTGAAACTCTTGCGTTGAAGTAGGAACAATAGCGTGTGTATAATAATATAAAAAAAATAAATCAGGGAGAATGCTATATAATTTCCATCGGATACCCGTGCGCCATAAATCCATATCGCTATTGCAGCTACTGTATACTTCATTTAATCATTTCGTTACCACACACACACACCCACGCTCACAACTGGGAAAAACAAATAAACCGTTATGACGATAAAAATAAAATGAGAAGAAGAGGAAGAAGCGAGAATAGGAGGAAAAAATAAAAACAACCCTCATATAAACGTGCAGCACTTGACGTTATACTCTAATCAATATTTCATTAGCTTGTCTGAAGGTAGGTAGCATGTAAATACATGTATAGGCATCTAGAATTTCGGAAGAAATGAAAATACTGTGAGCCCTCGTCGCTTTTCCCTCTCATATCTTCCATCAGTTATCACCCACCTTCTCCCGTACACACTACTTATTTCCCAATCCCTCTCACTCACTCTTTCTTTGTCCGTCCGTCTGTCTCTGTCTTTCTCTTTCTCTTTGTCCCTCCGTACGCATCTCCTCGTCATATTTTTCGCGTACATAACGTTTAAGATTCGTACATTTTCAATTCGCGCATACCTATCCACTCGAGTGTTGCTACCTCGTTCGTAATACGGTTGCCACGGGTAGCTCGATGCGGTTGTTAGCTGCTGCAGAAGACCGGGTGTGCTACCGGTGCCGCTCTTTCATCGGGAAAACAGGAGGGTCGGGGATATGACATGACGATGACTGCCGGGACGACCGGGTCGCGGTGGTGTCGGCTACGGCGGCACCGGCGCACGAGGCTTCCGGGGTCCTTAGTGCCCGCCCACGTCGACCCGCGGTTGGTCCAATCGGAACGGCGGCCGGATGCTGTTGTGACGACAACGACCAGCCTTCGCGAGTAATGTAACCGCCACCACCACCGCCTCCGTCTTCGAACGCGTTTTCCGGATGCGATGCGCGCACACTTCGTTCGCACGCACGCGCGCGCGCACACACACCTTGCACACACGCTCGCTGGTGCCCACACGTCGCACGCGCACGCCACCCGGTACACTCTACAACGACACAATATTGTGCCGTGCATATCGCCGTTTGCAGTCGGCTCGTTAACGCGCCGTGGCTTCGTGTTGCCGTTACGAAACGCGGCGTCGACCGGTAGGGTTACCACGGGATAACCGACAGCGCGATAATAATACTATGGACGTAAATCGCGTGTACACGCGTTTTCTAGATAAACGTACTGCAGACGCGTACCTGCATTTCGGAAACAGATAAAATACAAACACCGTTTCGGTCCCTTAGACGCAGTTTTTCGTTTGTTTTTTCCGATATCGCGTTCCGGTCCATCCCCGCGGAATCGTGCCGAGGTGGGAATTACGCGTGTCAACACGATGACCCCGACGAACCTTCACGCCCTCGCGGTCGGGGGATGTGTGCCATGACCGAGGATTCCGACAACTCCGCGCGTCACCCAACTGCCGATTAGGTCGTTTTGTACCGTTACGGCATCGAGATTTATTGTCAGTGCAGACGCCGGCCGCGACGCTGCTCACTGACCGAAAACTCGAGTATTTTACTTCCTACTCAAGACTGGTCTTCTCGTTCTAATTTTTACAAACGCCACGAAAATCGACCACAATTCTGTCTTCGATACCGTTCAGGCCGGGGTTCAGGCCGAATATGCTCAACAACATCAGTATTATTGGCCCGAACGTTGTCGGAGGTAAGTGTCCATAAGAATATTATACATTGCATAAAAGCGTAATCGCAATATATCATACGTTTGTCTTTATATACTTGTCAAATAGGAAACGTGTTCACGTTTTACTCTTGTATATAATATGCCGCGTTCATTAATAATATGTATTTTAGTCAACTATTCGCATTCTACAATTTTTATCGAATTTATGTAGTTTATAAAGTTTTATTCGTGTGATACAACCGCTTATAGTTGATTGTAACTTATAGATATTAAGAAATTTAAATATAAAATCATTTAAACTTATGTTTTGAAAAATACTTAAAATTTTAAATGATACAAGTATTTAATACTTATGTTAGTCTATAATTTTTATATTATTTTGTATTCGAACGTCTAAACGCAATATAATTGCTTGAATGTCATAATACATTTATTACCGATACATTAAAGATATTTTTCTAAATAAATTTATTTATTTTATGATTCGTAAATAGGAAATTTAATATTTCGTAATACAGTGTTGATAATTAGTATTTACAAACAACTTTACATCATTGCATTTATTGACAATAAATTAATATGAAATTATTGATAAATATATATCAAGTATGAATGTATTTTAGTTAAATAAACGTTATGTAATTTTAAAAATCAATTCTGCAAAATAATTATATTAATGGGATAAAAATTACCTATTAATTAAGATTTAATTCTGGCTTATAGCTAGGTAAGTTCTAAAGATTATTTTTATTAGCTTATTCTATTTACATGAAAATACACAAGTGAATATTCCCAACAATATAATATACCTACTAACATATTTTATTTTCTATTTATTTTTCTACGAGCGCATTAAATCCCTAAGTAATCATTAAGTAATTACAAAATATTATTTATCTACTTATCAAAAATTATATTTAAATATCATACATTTTTAATTTAAACCCTATAAAATTATTTTAATACACCAATACACAAATAATTTTAGAATTATAGCCCATTCTTTAATTCAAGTTAAAGAACAAAGACACATGAAGAATCAAGAATTTTCTAGGGGAATAAAACACAATTCGAGTTGTCAAGATTTTCTAGTTATCGCGACTCGACAGTACTATATTTATTGGCTATTATATTAAAAAAAAAATAGTTAGATACTTTACATTTTACTCACTATAATGAAAAAAAAATCTGGTTTATTCGAGGTGTCGATTGATATGTTACATAGGTAATTATAAAATTATTTTATTTTATTCTTAATTATCACCCTTCAAGGTATTTGAATATGACGACCAATAATCTTTAACAATACTAGTATATATAAATAATAATGAAAAAATATTTTGAAAAATTTATAAAAAACATGTTTGGGTTATCCTTCCCAGTGGAGCGACCTCAATCTTAGGCTAATACTTCATACTAAGTCATATCGTCTTTGATGCTTAAAACTTTTTATGTCTTGAGAGTTATCGAGTAGTTGAATTTCTGTTGGATTGGTGTATTTATCAGTCTTTTTTCGTGTTTTTGGGCAAACTTAATAATTTCGTCCCGTATAGAGATTATCCGTATATCAAATCTTGATAAATAATATCGTTTCTATTGTACAGGTATGCTACAACAAAATGGTACGTAGAGCAATGTTTTGTCTTTTATTGGCATAACTCCAAAGTTGTATTATTTTGATTCATATTGGCTTAATTATCATTACACACACAAATTATGACTTTGAATGTTTTCAATGATTGAACTATTAAGTGTATAAAACTGCATTTTTATAGTATATATAATTATATGCTAATCGTATAGTCAAATAATCCGAAAACGACAGTATTGAAATAATGAATTTTATTACAATTTCGGTTAATATTCTAACTTAAAATATAAAAATAATGACTAAAAAATTTGTTTCGTTATGATAACTGTTTCATAATATCTACTAAAATCTAAAATATATTTTCTGTTTTACCATTATTAGCACTAATTCATATTAAAAAAGAATATAGTATATATATATATATTTATGAAATAGTATGTACACACATAAAAGGCCGGCTTGAAATTCGGCGTTCTCGTTATAGGCAAAACACCAATGTAATTAATACATAAAAAGTACAATAATACTATAAAATTAAAATGTATTAAAACAATATCGTAAATTTTAAGTTGGTTATTTCTATCATACTAAATAAAATTAATAAAAATAATACAAATTAATCCAAACGTTTGCAATGATAAAATTAGTAATGATGGTATTGTCACAAATCTATATCGGTATTATTGAACGGAGAATTAAATGATTTTAAAATTTGCCATTTTTGTCGTCGTGAACACATCGCCAAAAATGTTTAGTTTAAGAATGTTTAACCTAACCTTCCTGTATCTAACCAGGAATTAAGAAAAATATCTTACAAGCATAATATAAACAGTTAATTTAAGAATAAATTAGATAAGTGTAATAAGATTAAAAAAAGGGTTACGTACGATTTAATTATTATCATTATTTTGCCATTTTTTGAAATTTTATAATTTTCTGAACACGTAGTACAGTAGATATACAGGGAATGCACAATAAAAAGTAAAAAAAATTCAATCAATCAATAATATCTACAATCACGCATTGTTTTTAACATCACATTGTTTGTAAAGTAAATAACGTAACTCAGAGAAATACCAGATGCAGTAAAACATTTATCGTATACCCAAATATATGCCTATATGTGTGTATGCATATAATATATATATTATATGTAAATGTATATAAAATAGTTATAGCGGTACGACAAAAACAGTAATAAATGTTTTCTTTCGTTTTACGACTTAATAAATGCGTGTTATAACATTTGTACATTATATACAAATACACCGCATCGCATTTATACATATACTATATATATCGTGTTATAAAAACAAAACGGTACTAAACAGTTAAGTTGCCTAAAGATGACTCTGTATGTACTACTAGTCAACAAAAAGTTGGGCGAAACATATTTTAAACATTAACGTGCTAACATTTGATACGACGTAAACACCGGACGCCCAGTGAAAAAAATCTTTAACACTGTTAATACGTTACACTGTTACATTGCGCATAGTAATAATAAAAAATAAAAAAATGTAAAAAAATTATAACAATAATATGTTGTATATGCACACGTGCACGAGACATTGCGCGTGGTTGGTGCGATCTTGATCGTGTTCAGGAGTGCATAGTCAGGAAAAGAGACTAAGTGTTCGAGTGGGACGCGAGGAAACGTTACGGGAAGAAGCGTAAGGATCGTGCACACGACGAGGGCGCGCATGTCCAATGAATCACTATTGCACGTGTGTACCTGAAACATAAACGTGTATGATGTTGCATTGTTCTTGACCGCGTTCGCATCTCATTGCCCGTCACGTAAACGTTACTTCGCCGCCGGTTGATTATATTAGAAAACTCGGGTTTCGATAGGACGGCCGGTTAAATTTAATATGCTACGCCGAATCACCCCCCGTAACCACACGCCACCCCACACACGCGTGTTTACGAGTGTACAATAATCGTCACACGAGCCCAACAGCGTCGGCATCGTCATTCGCTGCGTTCACCCCGTTCAGTCTTCGGTTAAACGACAAATAATATCGACTTACCAAACATATCGACACACACACACACACACACACACACACACACACACACACACACACACACACACACACACCCATTTGAAAATATTTCCCTCTTCTTCCGTTGCAACACGTGAAACTCCAATGAACCGTCTTTCGACGTAATATTCTTCGCGCAATGGGAATAAAAACATCATTGTTTAAATATTCGCTGATTAATTTATTTTATCGCTTTCTTTTATTCGCGAACCACGCAGGCCACAAGGACTTCGATGGCCTCAAACACAGATCGCTTCACCAGTTGCAGACCGGCGGCAACAGAAGTGTTCACGACATCGGAGGCGGCCACGGTCTCGGCGGTGGTGGCGGTGCAGGTAACGTCCACCACCAGGGCAACGGTCCGTCACCGCCGCAGCTGTCCTCGGCCTCCAGCGGCGGCGGTGGACCGTTCCGATTGTCGTGCAGCGGTTTCGACCTGTCCGGCGCGGCCGGCCACGGGTTGGCGGCCGCTGCGGTCGGTGCCGGAGCCAACGGAGATGACACTGGCAAACCGAACAAACAGAAGAGACACCGAACCCGGTTCACGCCAGCACAACTCAACGAGCTGGAACGGTGCTTCAGCAAGACCCACTATCCGGATATTTTTATGCGTGAGGAGATCGCCATGCGGATCGGCCTCACTGAGTCCCGGGTACAGGTTAGTGCGCACCATATATGTTTGAATAATAGCACTTATTCTATATGCGTATTTTCATTGTGTAACATTATCGTTTACAATATTAGTACTGCGAGAGTTGACGGTACCTTCATAGTATATGTTTGGAAATATCATAATATAGTACAATATTGTTCACTACTTTTATAAAAAGATACATATAATTATGTAAGTTTTGTTAATTTTAGTGAATTATATGAATTAGGATTTAAAAAATAAATAAATAAATTACGATTCAAACATTTAGTTTTGAACGTATAAGTATTATTAGATTCTTTAAATTTACACGTATTTGCTTGAATCTATAATAGTTAAATTCTTAATAAGAAATTGGATACCTATGCCATTACCATAGTTATTTCGCCATACTTATTTTATACAACTATTGCAATATTTAAGTTATCAAATCTACTCAAATATGCATACCTTATTTTTTATAATCTAATTTTAATGTTAAATATATTCTATATTAATAATAATAATTATAATATATTGAAGTTAAGTTGTAATAAACTTTTGCTGAATGTTAACCTTTAATGTATGTAATGCGATAGCCAATCATAAGAACCGCTGCCCTCTTCACTTTATATAATAATAATTTTTTTATTATGTACAATTCGTTGAGAAAAAAATGATATAAATCAAACTCAATCAAAAATGCACGACAAACTAGTAAGTATGCTCCTTAATGGGCATATAAATGGATATAAATTTGAGATTTTGAGTAGTTGAACTATTTTATTAAATAATTCATTGGGCATAATTATTTTATAAGATAAATTAATAAATAATATGAATTTTGAATTTTTCTTAAAATAATTTTTTGGATTTGGTGATTGGTCATTTTTTTAAATATTATAATATTATAGAATAATAAAAACGACAATACACTCGTACTAGATTTGGGATCACACTTGTTACACAAGGCTCGAATTATATCCAACACCTTATATAGAAGAATAATAAGAGGGTGGGAAGAGTCGAGAATGTTCTATCTATACTCGATTAATATCGATGAATTTTCAAAAAGAAAAAGCCTAAAATCTTTCCTAGAAAATTCGACAACACCTGTACAGATTAAAAAATCTTAAAATTTACTGAAAATTAATAATTACATTGCTACAACGTTCAATACAACACAATCGTAATTTGATTGTCGATCAGAGACACAAATAACGAACTCATTTCTAATCAAAGTTCACCGATATTTAAATATTTCCGTGCCCTGTTCCATCAGAAAATACCGATCTCGGTACTGCCTGGTACGATAGTACATTTCGGCCCTGTTCAGCCGCACCAAAGTAACGAAGAAATTTTGTAACAGATTCGGTTTCGTTTACGTGTTTACGCCCACGTTCCTGCACAGTCATACATCAAATGTACCGTGATGCCGAACGTTTTCGGACTTCGAAGACAAAAAAAGTACCGAGAAAACAATTCTCCGTTCCACGGAAAAACATGCGTAAAATGACCGCAGTGAACAATATTTCGGAAATAACGTGACTCGCCGCGCTGCGCACGGACAACGGAATAACACAACTGCTATGCGTAGAAATGCCGCGAGGACATTCATTAAATAATTGTCATCACGTGTAATATAATAACATTGTTATCCGATTGTCTGCGAGACATCATGCTGCCACGCACGCGTGTCGTTGTTCGCCGTCGCGGTCGTCCGCGATTGCTTTTGTCGACGGCAGAAGCGTCTGTTTTTGAGCGGCCACGTGAATAAGACCTATTTACGGCCGAACACAATATAAGCGCGCGTGTTTGCGCAAGCGTGGGTTTTCAGCCGCCGCCGTCATTTCGGTGGCGACGAACAAAGCGTGCGCGCTATACAACGTTAACTCGACACCCGCCCGCCGGACGGCCGATTGCGAGTGCGAGAGGCGTGTGCGCCAGGCCCGTCCCCCCGTTGTCACCTTTTTACCGTCACCGTCACGGCCTCCCACAGGCAGCCGCGCGAGTGCGAAATAAAATAACACCCACCGACCCCCTCCGGTGTTGCCGTCGGCGAATTTTGTTTTGGGAGCTCTCCCTGCCCAGCGTCGCTACCACCGTTGCTGCTGCCGCCGCCGCCGCCGCCGCACGCCTAATAAACAGTGATCAACCTAAATCCTCACAACTGTTTATCAAACTCGCAGATTGCTTCTCCCGCGCCGCTACCGCGATTCTGTCTTCGGCCTTTTGCGCCACCCCTGAAATATCGCCAGGAAATATATTCATTTTTTTTTTCATCGCCATCTCGCACCCCCACGCTCTTTGAGCCACGCCGTTTTGTGTTTTTCGGAAAACTCAAGGAAAACGATTTTTAATCAAATATAAATTCAGCTGCGTTGCACGTCGTGTTTAGTTACAAAGTTTTTACTTAATAACAATATATACGCCGTACACAATATATAAAACGTGAATATTGCTTACACTCGTACTTTAACGCGAAGCCAAAACTCGTTTATATTACTATATAAAATTGTTGTGGAATGTGTGTTGAGAGCAAACAAGAATAATATAGTGTAATTGGAACTTTGAGAACTTAATAAGTCTGCACCAATTACTGCAGGTCTTCGATTCTAAGAAGGGTGTAATACTATCCGTTATAAGAAATATGCTATTGAGCTCGAATCATTGAACATTTATGTGTATATCATAATAATGTATTCAAACATTAGAAAATGTATGTTAAAATTATATTTGAGTGAATATTCTTTCTTGTATGAGATCATTTTCATATTTTAGTTAACGTTTTAATTTTTACTAATATATTACATGACATTTGAATTAGTTTTAAAATCAAATTTCTTAATGAGTAACTTTTTTATTTGATAGTTTAAACAAATTTAAATACCAATTTATTTTAATTGTAATAAATATTTTTTATCTATTGCAGTAGTACTTGCTGTCGATAATAACGGTTGCACTATATTCATGTAATACATATATTATATTACAATGGCCAATGACAGAAAAACCAATCACGTGCACGTGCTAACATAAATGGTCTGTGAATTGGTTAACTATAAACACTCGTCATACTATTATTGTTAACAAAATATATGTGCACGTAAATACTGCACAATCGTTTCGTATACGTTGCCCCATCGACTATAAATCGTATTTGTTCAGCTGATAATTTAATGCAAAGTTAAAATCACAAAACTATAGTTAAATAATATATGTCTGGGATTAAGTTTTCTTTTGACTGGATATTAACGGAGTGATGGGTGTGTAATGCAGGGCATTATAAGTGGACGATAAAGAATGCAGTGAAATTTATTATATAAATCTTAATACTCAATAACAATAACTGTAATAATACCATATTTATCGTTTGGGCACATGGGCACGAGCACAGGGCCCCTGAACTAATAAGGCTCTCGATCAACAAAGGTTCTAGAAAATATAATTTACATATTTACGTTGTAACACACTGGCGCAACCTATCTCAACTAAATGTTTAACTGTAGGGCTTAAATTATAATTTAAAAATGATATTAAATAATATTTAACTCAAAATGTAAATGATATAAACACGAAGACTCTCAACTCTGTGTGCCCAAAAACCGTCTGCATAGCTCAAGACTCTATATTTACAACTGTGTGTACACAGTATATGTATATATACATTGTGAAACGAATAATGAAGTATCAAAATACAGGATTAGTAAAAGAAAATTTACTGGTGAACCGGAACTCCTTTAATTAGGAATGGTTTTGTCTATTGAATGTTATTATTTCCAATGTACCTTAGTTATATTATAAAACTTAATTGTCTAAAATTACATCAATATACTAATTAATTAATTATTATATTTAAAATCAATGCAATTTTTCGATTAAAATTTAATCTAAATTTAGATATTATGCTATCAATAACAAAAATAACAATTTATAAAGAAATAGTACACATAAAAATAAATAAATAAATGTCGGCGCACGGAGTCTTGCTATTAATAAGAGACGTTCTCTTTCATCAAAATAATAAATATAAAAATTAAAATAACAAATTGCTAATAAATGGACTGTATGATATAAAATATATAAATCAATATAAAATATTAAAATAGGTGGCCCACACTGCACACACTAAATATGATATAAATAATAAATAAATGCTCTAATTTAGGTCCGCCGATCTTTACTAAACCAATACAACTAACAATAATGTGATCCACCAATACTCACGTACAACTGTAATACACGAGGTATGCCGGGGCCAGTAATTAATAAAACTAATTCAATAACAATCACAAGTTGACCTCGCGCACACACAATCGTATGCCGCCGACAGTTGTTGACGAAGAATTCACAAATCCCGTCACAACACAATACAAAACGATGATGAAAAACCACGTTATTCACAAATGCCGCCGGGAAGTGACCAATCTGGAACAATGTAAACTAAAGTACAAGAGTAACTTTAAGTTACTGAACGCTGCTAACCAGATGGTAGACAAAATACAACACAAAGAAAAACGTGGTTTTGAACAAGATGTCTGTAAATGGGAACGTGAACGATATTCAAGAAAACTAATATTGATGTGTACACGTCGACAAACGCGAACAGAAGGAGCTATGGTGCCGACGATATTTACTACGAAAGCTACGGCTGCCGGATACCATTATTACGATAAAAATGTCTCAGTGCCACTACACTAAAACTGAAAACAAAAGAATTTAAGAAAACATGTAGCACCGAGAATATGACCTTTAAGATTTTACACACAGCATAACCGACAGAAATTGAAAACATGGAATAACGAACATTTACGTGTGACGATAACAGCGTGTAATCACGGCTGGTTAATCTCACATAGAGGTATACCTCCACACCAACCATAACCGCAGCAGTGCAATGTACCGCTATGCATCACACTCAAATTATAATACAAAACAGATAACACCGATAAAAACATGAAACTAGAAACTAAATATATGGTTCAAACATGTAGCCTGGAATATTATTATATTTGTAAAGCACTACCAGTTTCGAATTAAAAATCTATCATTAGGTATATAGATACAAAGTCAATAAAATTACGATATTTATTTATTTATTTATTTCTACAAATAAACCATTTATTTATTTATTTAAATATTAAATTACGAGTTTTAACAATTTACTAGTTTTTAATTTTAATTAAATTTTTTAATATTTTATTAAAAACTAGCTTAAGTATCCAGCTTGACCGGGACATAGGTTTTAATGGATTATTGCCTTAAACTATTTAAAGCCAAGTTTAATGTAACTGATAGCTTTAAATAGTGTAATGTAAGTTTAATGTAACTGTTGGTTATAAAACAAATTAAACGAAAATTCAAATGAATCGGTATAGTAGTTTTGGTTGTACGCCGAATTACCTCTGAATTACCGTCTTTGTCAGTTCAACAAGGCCGTATCTGGGGAGGGAGCTCCAGGGTGTCTGGACCACCCCGAAATTTCTTCAATATTTTACGAATGTTTAAAATAATTATTTATTTTTAATACCAATATAAATATTTTCAGTCAAAAATTACTTAAGCTCCAATTAATCATTGACTGCTTTTAGTTTTATATCATATCTTATAAAAATATATCAATTTTAACAAAAGAAGATTAAATCTTTTTCTGTCTTATTTTTAACCAAATATCAAAAGTTAAAATCTAAATTAAATTAAATATACAATATACATGTTTTGAACCTCTCCTGAAAAAAATTTCTAAGTACGGTATTGCGGTTCAATTGCTTTTTTAAATCTCTTCTTTTTGCACGTGTTGGAAAGACCACCATGTTAAAATTAAAGTTTATGTAGTTTTGAGATGTAGCGATGATCAATGCGTGAATGGTACCCGACGTTAGCCGTTAAAAAAAATGTTGAGTGTTCAACTCCTTTTAGATGTTACTCTTTACAACGATGTTCAATTTCTTTAGGTCATAATTTATTTATTTTTATTCGTTTTATCGAGAAGATCTGAGAGTTAAAGTTTTCAATCATAAATGCTATTTATTGAAGTTCATTTGGATTACACAATATTTTTTGCTTATCCTTTTCTAGTACCTACGTACACAAATAAACCAGAAGGTTTTCTGACACGTGAGCAGGTCACACACTGCTGTGAGAAGCATGAATTTTTAAAATTTAGTCCACACACTTGTTGTAATTGTCCTTGTACACTATTGATAATCATTGCAAAAGCGAATCGCACCGGAAATTGCCAACGTTTGAATTATATTTGATTATCTGTTAGAATCATTGGAATGCGTGGCATATATAATACATCCTCGCCTTTACATTTTCCGTTTAAAATAATAGCTTCGATAATGTTGTACATAATTTTTTTTACTGAAAGCCTGGTAACATAATAGAGTCGTGGCGGGTTGATGTTTCATAAAATAAAGATTGGCACATCATTGAAAATTGGTAAGAACGTGCGGTGGCATATTTGACATATCAAGTGAATTTAAAAATTCAGCTGAATTGTGTTGCAAGTATAATACATTATCGACATACAGAAAAGTTCTTGTACAGAGATCAAAAAGAAGAGGTTAGTGTCGTTTTCGGAGGAGAAGATAGTCACTCTTGAAAATTATTTTCAATAAAATAGACACGTTCACCATTATCTAAGGTCAGTGTTTCCCAAAGGGTGTGCCGTGAAATTTGAAAGGTGTGCCTCGAAAACTTGAACTATTTTTATAAAAAAACATAAAATGATTTTTTTCAAAATATTTAAATATAATTAATACAAAATAAACTTTAAAATTACAAAAAAAAAGTTATAGTTATAAATTTTAGTGTGAAAAGTATGCTTGATGTTGTTTGCGTAATAATTCAATTCTAGAAGAGATCGACAGTAAATATACCAGTATTTCTTTTTCAACTGATAAAAGTCATTCACGTTTCTTATTTTTAATATTCGTTAGTGCGGAAAACCCAAGTTCACAAAAGTATGTTATAGAAAATGATAATATTATATTTATTGCAATTTCTGTAATTATCGGATACTCTAGTTTAATAAAATTTCAAAACTAGAACAGTTTAAGTTCGTTAAATTTTAATTTCAATGAATAATCAGATCGAAGTTCTAAAAGTTGTTCTAGCTAATCCTATATGTGATATTACATCTGATGTTACTGCAAAAGAAATGTGCACCCAATTATATTCGTTAATAGGCAAAGATGGGAAGTATTTTTTTATTTTTTCTTTTAAAATTATGAGATGATTTATTATCAAATCAGATGTTACTTCTCCATCTGGATCAACATCTGCTGTTAATGGAAGCATTTGCAGTTGTTTTTTTTTCTACTTGTGATATCCAAAGATTAATTTTCCGTAAGAACCCATTTAATTTATCAGACGATGTTAATATGTTTTCATCTTTACCTTGCATATTGGAATTAAGGATATTTAAATGGTTAAAAATATCAGCTAGATAATCAAGTTTTGCAGACCATAACGGATTATTTAATCGAGTTACTAAATCGCTGTTTGGGTCTTCATTATTGAACAATTGCAACAATTCATTTTTCATTTCATAAAATCTGTTTAAAACCTTACCTTACGCAAATCCTAAAAATGTTGAAAAAAAACATAAATTTATATATTTGAACATTATTGATTTTTATTGATTTCATTCATACTATTTAATAATTTACATAAATCTTATAAAATCAATATATTAAACAAATAAAATATTTCATAGGTAACCAAAAAATAAAAAAGTTTATACGTTAAGTCAAAAACTTTATCGACCTTTAAAAATGTGATTTTTGAAAAATCCTTTCTTATTGCTCCGTGAAAGTGTTAGAGGAACCATTATTCCAAATTTCAAATACGTACGTTGAGTAGTTTTTGAGATAGAGTGATCAATAAGTTACAGTGGTATTTAGATTTTATATTAAATTTATATTTATATTGGTATTAAAAAACTATAAGTATAGTACCATAATATGAATATAATATATATTAATTTAATTCAAATATTTTGTTATTAATTACCTAAGATAATATAACAAATAACCAATTTGAATTCAATTAATATATACTCGTATTATAATCATATTATGATGCTATACTTATAGATTTTTAATAACATTTACCATAAAATATTTAAAAATCATACTTTTTAACAAACACATCACATATTATAAAATAAATCATGTAATAGCGGTAACGGTTAATTGAAGAGTGAGTATAGAAATTTAAGCTACCGAAAAATGTAAGTAAAAACAAAAGTATTTAAATAAAATTAAAAAATTAACTATAAAAGTGGTATAGAAATATCATGAACATATAATACATAGATAATAATTATACTCCTACATAGTAGGTAACATGTTGTAAATAGGAAACAATAGTGCAAAAATAGAACGCCATTGTATTTGATAAAACTAATACATATATAATTATTTATTTAAAATGTAGTATATGCAGCTTTCTAATTTTTTTCGAGTAGCATGAATGCAACGAACATCGTACTAACTAATGGCTTGATTATTGGACAATATGACTTTTCTTCTTTTTTAGGGGGGTCTATATACGAAGATATCCAGTCTTTATAATTATAGACGAATAAGTATTTGTCTTCGACTGTATCGATACCGCACTTCGCTTCACCTGCCATCTTTAAATTTCTCGTATGAATAGTTATGCCGTACTGCTGTTCACCACATATCAACAGACTACCGCTATCTCCACTACACACCGTTTTGTTTTCGGTTTTGGCACATAAAAACTCTTTATCGAGTGACCTTCAAATATAAGATAAAACAATTTCACGGACTGCATCCGAATTGCATGTCAAAAAAAAAAAAAAGTCTTAGAGGGGCCTGTCCGAATTGTATGCCACGTATTTGAGAGGTATACCGTGTACAAAAAGTACAAGTCGTGTACACTTATGTGGATAACTTAAACTTTATTTTAACTTGAACTCTTTATGATATGTTTGTATTGATTAGTTTCATGATTGAAATATTTTTTATATCTGAGTAAACATTTCCATAAATCAATATTTACATTTTATTTTATTATTATATAACTATTGAACTATTTTTGTCATTGTATATTGTCAGAAAAAACTCCATCAAATTTTATATTATTATTTATTTGAAATACCATGTAAAAATGTAAAATACATTCACTTGATTACTCTAAACTACAATCGTTTTATTTAATGTTTAATATTCACAGTGTCACCTTCTTCAATTTGGTAAAATGTTTACTCGGATATATAAAAATATTTCAATTTAGAAACTAATCAGTTTCTATTCATCCGTTTTTTTAAATATTAAAAAAATCAAAAATGTTAAGTACATGATAAATACACTTGGAGGTACATCGCATGCAATCCGTACAGACCCCTCTAAGAGATGACATGCAATTCGGACATTCCAATTTATGTTAATTTTTTTTGCATGCAATTCGGATGCACCAATTTCACGGAACAGCAATGAGTTGAACGATTAGTACCTCCTACCAGATATACATGGTGGTTTGCCATATCTGATAACGGCATCAATCATAAGCCCTTCATTCGACCATTTTTCTCCATTAGTAAGGCCGAACCCGATAGCCATGCAGTTTACTTCTGTGCCGTTGGCGAAATTATCAGGATTGCCAGAAGCCACCACGACACGTTTAAGACTTGGAAATGGCGCCTTCAACTAAACATGTGTACAAAATGCAAACGTTAATATCATAACCGCGTACCCATTTAGTAAATTATATAATATTATATATCATTAATATGTTAAGTCTTGTTCAGTAAAAGAAAACATTGTATAAAATACACTAAGAATGTTATAAATAATTCAATATATTATTTTGATTTTAGCGGGAAAATATATGAATGGGTAATTTTATTCGATCGTACTTTTTAAATAAATTACTTAGCGTGGTATTACTCGAAAGCTATGAAAGAATTAAAATAATGCGGCTCGGGTGAAGTCAATAGCTAATCGTTAAATTACGTTAATTTATAATAATTATATTGATGGGATAGTAATAAATTAATATAATAAATTAATATTCATAATTTCCAAGATGTAAACTTTTCTTTTATTATTGTTTTTATTAATTTACATTTTTAATCACTGAACCTCAAGTAGGTCACCACACTAGTTCCTTTCAAATCTTCTCAAGGTATTCCCAGGAATTATAAAAGTAACACGGTGGATATGAGGGAGTTGATATGAGACGGAAGTCTGGAGTGGAATCTTTTACAAAAGGTTATAGCTACTAAATTAATGGTTTTAATTATATTAATATTTGCTTTATTATCATTGCCCTGTAGTTGAACATACGACATATAGTACAGACATACTGGACTATATGATAATTTATCACATATTTTTGTAATTCAGTGATTTGAATGCAGTTATAATTATCTAAACGTATATCATACTAAATTTATATTTTTTGTTTTGTATTTTGAAAAAATAAAATACTATTACTTACCTTTATTAAATTTATATATGCTATAAATGTTTTTTTATCGTACAATGGATATAAATTTCATTACAACTTCCTCAGCCTCTTCGTGTACTAACGTTAAAACACCGCCTAAATTGATCTAACAATCATGATTTTATTTATAACAAAATAGCTTAAAAAACTTGTTATTCGAATTTGAAATTTATCATGTTTACTTGGATGTCCGATGCTTTCCTACCATACGTACAATAAGTAGCGGTCAACACGAATAATAGTGTTATCATTATGCCCGTGCAGACAAACAAATCATCACCAGGATGAATATCTATAGCCACTAAGTATGGATATTTGTCTTTATCGTAAATCGAGCCATTATATATATGACCTCCATCTTCAGATTTAGGAATAGTCTGCTGAAAAGCCCACGCGCTGATCGCTACTGATAAAATACTCAGGAAAAGCATTGTATTCATGATAATATGTTATATTATTATATTTGAACGATTCACGCAAATAAAACTTGGAACTGAACTGCGTTTGAAAAGTGCGAGATCAAGCTTATCAAACAACACTTAATTTTTGATAATTACACTGATAACCATGGTGATTTTTCATAAGTTCATCTGATTTCGAATATGCATATTCGATTTTTATAAAATAGATAATAATGTAACAATAACCCTTTAAATTATTTTACAACAGTAAAATAACATTAAAAACTTTTTCTTTTATATTTGATGAAGCATGTTTATCATTTTACGTTATGATAGTTAAAAAATTCAAAAACAAAACTAAATGTTCTTTTATTTGTTTTTTCTATAATGTATTTGCCAGTATATATTCGAATATTTAATAGAGACTATAATATTACATATTTACCTTACCCAAACATTATGTCCCAATTCGTAGTTATTTTAGATTTATACAATATTTTATTTTTGTAATAATTTTAAAGATGAAATTTTAATAGTTATAAAAATCATTGTTTCATTTGATTCCCATATAAAATAGATAAATTTATTTTTAACTGGAGACAAATATTATAACTTGTAATATTTCTTTTAGGGATATAAAACCAAAAAGTTGGATCAATATATTTTTAGTGGAAAAATGTACCATAAAAATATGCAATGAAACTAATGGCATTGGTTTTATTTGATTATAAGGTTTTGAAAAAAAAGAAGAAAAAAAGAGTATATAACATTTTAGAAAATTATAACAGCAATCTATTTTAAAATCAATGGTTATATTATATTTAAAATAAGATGTGTGATTTAGGTACATTTTATTTGAAACACAATATGTTATTATAATTTATTTTATTTTTAACTTAAAATTATTATTAGATTTACCGCTTATACGATTATACAAAATAAAGAATTTTGTGCCTGTACCATCTAACCTAACCCGACAGTTGACTATTGTCCCATATGGGTACAGTACTAGACACAATGCTAACTGGGATATCAGTACTAGCAGTTAGATATTGGTTTAGATCTAGCGCATTATGGGTACTATCTCAACACTGAAAAATACTAGCTAATATCTAATAATATGTCAACAAATATTATATTATATAATATACATTCACAAATGGTTAATTTTATCTGCAAAATAGTATTTAAAATTTAAATATATATCTATATTTACATTATACATACCTACAGTATATATATACGCATATTTATAGAGTACATATAATTATGAATTAAAACCAATTAGGAATTTCTAAAGGATCATTTGATAATTTTAGGAAAAATTAATAAAAACACATAGAATATGTCTTTATTTAATATAGATACATACGCTCATATTCATAGTTAACAGATGATTATTATTTAATTAAAAATCTACAGTAAAATCAATTTAATTGAATTTTTATTTATATTATAACTACTGAAAAGGAAATGTTACAGGAACAATGATGTAACTAAAGTTTAAAATAAATATATTTTAATTTTGAATATTAAATAAAGTCTTGCCTAATTGACAAGGACAATGAATATATAATGAGAAATGATGATAATTTTAAATTAATTTTCAATATTTAATGTGAATTTTAGTATACCAATTATTAACAGGTTGACTTTAGTTCCATTAAATTGTTTAATTTCAGCTAAAACAATTTTCAAATTATAGGTATGATAATAAATAAAAATTTTAAGTATAAATTAAATATTCACTGGATTAATTTTAGCTTATTATACCGAAATTAAATCTATTTTAGTTTTATTTATAACTTCTATAAAAATATTTAAATTGAAATTACACATATATTTAGCTTCAGAAATCATAATTCTATCTATCAATGAAAAATTGCAAAATAACATTCTGTTTACTTGAGACTAATGTAGATTTAATTTTAATTAAATTAAACAAAGATATTATAAAATTAAGTTGCAAATAAATGTTAGGACTTCGTGAAATTCAGTCGTTTATGGTGTTTTTAAAATTCATTTGAAAGGAAAATATAAATATAATGTGTATATTGTTAATACAAGTAAAGTTTACATGAATTTAAAAAATCTATAAAATATTAGGTATGTATGTAGCTCGTTTAAATATTTAATCAAATAAATATACCATCATATCAAAGTGAATGATATATTTTACGCTATATGGGGAGTTTTTTTAATCGGTATATAATTTTATGAAAATACACTATTAGTATTATATACTATTGGTAATTGATATCTCGATTTTAAATAAGATCCAATAAAATCATGCAAATTCTTGCAAATGCATACATTATATTTACTATATTTGTGTTATTTTATTAAAATATTGCAAAAATAGCTTTTAGTTTTAGGTTTCTAAAAATAATTTTAGAACACATTAAATCTTCGCTGTATACCTGCATTCCGTTATTCACCAGTACAAAATTATGAATTATGATTGTTGATACAAAGATATTAAATAAGATTTAATACAGATACATAATAGTCAAAATAAAATATAGGTACTAAAATATAAATACTTTATTTAGGGCCATTTCAATAGCTAGATAAGACTGTTTAAACTCCAGTTAACCGTAGTCATTATAGTTTAATTAAAATATTGATTTTTTGATCTTTCGGTTGAATTTTAATTCAACCTCAAACAAAGTTTAAATTAAATGATGTATGGTTAATTAAGATCTATGATTAAATTCAATATTATAAGATATAGGGATTACATTTTGTTTTTAAATATTTACAAAGTACAAAAATATTGGAATACATATATTAATATTCCTATTGATTTTATGTTACATTAACTTTAAATTTGTATTAAATTATTGCATAATTACTACTTTCAGTTGTTGGCTACAATCAAATCAGAAGTCTTGAATAGAGTGAAAATATTTTTAATGGAATAATACGAAGGTAAATTTATAATTTCACTGACAATGTTCATTTAACACTATTCCGTACTTAATCTATAGAGAACTGAATTTCTAGACGTAGTTATACCTATACGAATAGAGTTGTATTAATATGATTTATTTAATATGTTATATTGTATTAAAAAATAAGGTACAAATTCTCTCAATTATCTACTAAATTTAATTATTGAACGTTCTGGATAAATATAAATAGCGAATCTCTAGGGCTCCAAATCCAAATAGAATATACTTATGAGACAGTCGAATTAAAAATGATCGCCTAATACAACAAATCTTTTTAATTTTTATGAATATTTGTTGTAAACACTGTAGTTTAAATCAGAAAAGAGGACTTTATACTCTATACATTTGCAAACCTATTATAACAAATTTTGTTATAATATATTTTTTAATTTTTAATTTCACTTTATTATTACAATCATACGATCTGGTCTATTTAATAAATAAATGGAAATCCTATGATAAAAACATGATTTAAAACCTAACATAGACGGAAAGGCACTCCAGAAAAAATTTAATTTTCATCTATATTTATCTAGAAGACATTCATATTTGAATGAATTTGATATTTCTAGGAACATGACCCAATAAATTACCATACGAGTAATGTAATATTTTATTGAAAATTTAATGTTTTTTTGTTATTAAATTTGTAGTATTAATTTCGTGGTTTTGAAAATGTTATGCTAATATTTTATTATAGTTTTATAAATCCATTTGTCAAATTAATATCATCTTTGAGTGCTAGATTCTTTGTTTTTTTGTTCTCCGAACTCTTATTCCCTCAGGGAAAACATTTATTTATTTCTGTAATAATATTATTCTCTAATGGAACAGTGTCAGTGACAACACGTCACATTATTGCACAGTCTTATCAAATGACACGTCCTCAACATTTGACTTTGATTGATACTATAAATTATAATGTATAATTAATTATTGATAACGAAGTTTAAGAAAAATGTTTATAAAATATTATGGAAGCTGAAAAACATATATTTATTAATCCAATTATTAAAATAATATAAGCACATATTTAGCACAATAAAATAAATTTATTAGTAAGGCATAATATTCACAAGCTTAAATGTATAATAGAAAATGCCAAACACAACCTTTATGAATACTACAGAGGCAGAACTGAAAAATTGCATTTTTTTAAAAACTTTACTTTGTCAGAGTATTTTGAATTCAGAATTGTACTTCTATAATTAAAAACAATTAAACACCTACACAATCATGACGTATTCCGAGAACATTTAATTCTATACCGTTCCCGTGTTTCAACAATTTTACTTGTATTTATATATATGTAAATATATACAAAATACAAAATAACTATACTCAACAAAATTATTGATTGAAATATTCTAAATTTCAAATTGTTTAAAATATTAAATTTTTAATGTATGATTTATATACTTTGGTACTTGAAAGAATAATTATCAAAAAACGTTAAACAGTAAATAATTTTCAATACATTTATCTATTATTTTTTAAAAAGATTTACGAATGGTTCATTTTCAACTTTTTTTGTCCTGTTACGTATTTAGTTAACTGTTCTTATATTTAAAAAAAGCAAAAGTGTATACTAAAAATGATAAGACCTACTTGCCTAAATATAAATTAAATCTTCCAATATCCCAAACAAACCATGGTTGCAGAATTCAATGAACTTGTTATTCCTGCACTAAGTCACGAGATGTTCAAAACACTGATCGAAAAAGCGTTGTACATTTTAATGGAAATGATATTGTATTCGCATCCTGTTTGTTTGCGTCACTAGAACGACATCAGTGTCGTAGAAATAAACCATCACGAATCTCGACGTCCCGCAGGCGAAGCGTCCCGCTATAACTCCCCAGAGAGAAAACGAGTGAGTGACTGAGTGAAAGCGATGGACGGAGATTAAAACAACTAAATGTATCCGTGAAATTCATTGAATCGACTCATCAATTTATAATTGATATAGCGTAAAAAAATAAAGAAATATAAAAATGAAAAAAATAAAAAAAAAACCATTCGCATTACATGCCTCTGACGAACGAGTGCGAAGGTTGGGGAAAAATAATGAATATAATATAGTGATCACGGGTGGATGAGAGGGTAAAAAGTTTTTACTTTTTAAAAGCAAATACTTGTCGCGAGCGCTGCACTGAAGAAAAACGAAAGAAGCCTTGAGCGGCGGCGGCGGCGGCGACGATGATGTGACGTCACACGGGCACACAGTAATATTTATATGCGTGTGTGTGTGTGTGTATGTTTGATGGTGAGTGTGCGTGTACGGGCGCGTAAAGGAAGGGACAACAAGGTGGCAAAGGCGGTGCGCGGCTGAGTTATAACGTCCCCGGAGAGGAGATCAACACTAGTTATCCATTGTGGTCGACGGTGGCGGTTATATGCCCCTACAGCCCACCGCCGCCGCGGTTGATGGTAAATTATAAATACGCCATTAAACCCTGTCGCGTCGTCCTCAGCGGTATCCCTTGCGCGCGCCATACCGGCACATGATATGTCCCTGCGACGCCCGTTGTTGTTTGTTGCCGGCGCGCAAATCCCGCGGGTGTAATGTGCGCCGGTACACTACTACTATAGTAGCACTACCACTACTGTCTACAACGCTGCTACATAAAACACCACTACCGTTATACGCAACTCCGCTGCCGTCATCGCCACTACTTGTGCTATATCATAACGCACACACACACACACACACACACACACACACACACACACACTCAAGCGTGCCCGCACAAACGCGTCGTTCTCCGCGCAACATACTGCGCTAGCTGCACCGTGTATACGATAATGTGACGGTAGTTTTATTTATTCTCTCGTGTACACACGCCTATAATATAATATGCATTAGCCGGCTTCGCACGTCTCGTCAAAACGGATTATTTTTTATTTTTTCGGCCATCCTAGTTTATTTTTTCATCATATCCTCGTTTCGCTATTGTAACCCTCGTAACGTTTGATACCAAGTACATTTCGCTTTCATTCGTAGATACACGTGCCATGATAAATTAATATCTTTGATTTCCTTTGATGTATTTCAACATAAACACGATAGTTATACTTATTATTATTATTATTATTATTAGGTACAAAATGCAATGGATTTAATGCTCCATGCGATATTGCAAGTATTTCAAACAAACTATGTACGTACTATGTAATCTATACTCAATAGTCGTTTATCAAAATATTAATTTAGTTTTATTTTATTGTCACAAGAAAAAATATTTTGACCGTTTATCACAAAAATATTTTAATTGTATTCGTTCGTATCTATGTACATTATATGTATATGCATAGGCGTACACAGACTTTTTCCGGGGGGGGGGGGGGGTCCCATATAAAAATGTCAGAATCAAATTCTTATTCTTATAATTAATAATAATAATAGGTACCGATAAAAATATATTGTAGCTTAAACAATTTACAGTTAAAAAATGTAACACAATTAAAACATAAAAACATATATACATAACTATTTACAACTCCATCCTTCTGTCTACGGGAGTAAGACTTTTAAAAGTATCAACTATGTCGTCAATATTTATATTATAAGCAAATTCTTACTTAATAAGTATCGTAAGGCCATACAAACGATCCTGTGTCATGGTATTGCGTAACTTAGTTTTCACAATACTGAGTTTGGAAAACGTTCGTCCGCAAGAACATCTCGTAACTGGTATAACCATAAACGTTTTCAATGCTTCGACAACATTACAAAATAATTTCCCTTCCATTCCTAATTGTTTTCTATTAGCCAATTCACCCTATCACTGCATTTGTTTTTTTCTTCTTTTGGTGTATTAGCAGTATGTTTTAGAAGATAAATTTCTGTTTTCAATTTATCAGAATTTAGGTTAAATACTGTGGACATGCCAGAAATGTCATTGCTGTTTTTATTTAAAGGTAATACATTTTTAATACTTTGAATCATATCCATTTTTTTCCTGATTGAATCTAATATTAATTCCACTAATCATATGATCCAACGTAGAATAATATACAGAAACCTTAATTTCTTCTTCTTTTTAAAGAAATAGTATATTGTGTATTCAAACTATCAATTCTAATTGACACTTTTATTTTTATCAATTATGAAACTTCAGTTTCTTAATTCTGATATATTTGAATGATTTCTTGATGAATATCTTTGAAAACACTTATATATATTCAACATTTCTCATAAAAACAAGGAACTTCTTAAATGGTTCAACAACTTATACAGAAGTCAATAAATTTATATCTGATGTTTGTAAAAAACATTTGTTTTTAATACGAGGAAAGAATAGGATCTAATATTAACATGACAATAATTAATTCAAACGTCTTCATCTAATGGAATTCCTTTGCCTTTGGCTTGAACATCTGATTGTTTATAGCATCTATGATTTTTTTTTTATTGCAATTAATAATGAGGAACTTTTTTTTTCGCCAATGGCTTTTGAGCGGCGAGCCCATTTTGTAGTAAAAATTGATTATAAATTTTCTAACTTTATGTTTGTTTCAGTTCCAGTTGTATTGGTTTCAGCTTCTTTCAGCGAAATTATAAACTAATTGTATGTTACCAAAGATACCGAAAATTACTATATTATATTTCCCAATAAAATCTACCGAAACAAGATTTAAAAAATGACCGTAACAATGAACATAAAATAATGATTATTTTTTTTCTTAAATTTTACTTGCGCTATAACAAAACTATCAGATGCTCCGTCAAAACAAATCGATACTAAGATTTCCCATTTCATATTCTTGAATGACATAATTAATGTTTTCAAAAATACTTTAAGTATCAGTTGAAGTCTTTCGTTTCAAACATAAAAACAGTTCAAAAGGAGAATTTTTTGTTTCGTTGAAGTAGCGTTATAAAATTGATAATTGTTCATAGTCTGATCATATGTCCTATGTCACGTGTCTTATGAGTTATTAAAAACACTTTTCTATTAATTATTAAATCTTTTAGGTGTCTTTCAATTACTATATTAATTGATGATTTCAAATAATTTTGATTTTACTTGTGTAAATACAATTTCTCGGTTCAGATATGAAATTTTCATTAAATACTGAATCATATTTTCTTATAAGACCAACAATATCAATAAAAAGATCTCGTCAACATCATATGTCTTTTCTGTATGTCCACGAAATGATTTATCACCAACACTTTTTTTTATTGCTTATTAATAGTATTTTTATTGCATTACTTTTACTTTTATTTATAAACACAAATACATAAATATTTAACGTATTTTATAACATATACTCAAAATGGCTACCTTGTTTACTAATGCATGCACAAACCAGTTTTATCACGTTTGTGACTAATTTGTGCAATACGCTTACATTGATTAAGTTTATCTTCGTTGTTATGTTACTCTTCAGTTCATTCAATGTTTGTGGTCTATTTTTATAAACCCTTCCTTTAAGATAACCGCATTGAAAAAATCTGGAGATGCTAAGTCATGAGAAAAGGAGGGGGTGGCATAGTTCTTTGGATATGATAAGTTCGTCAAAAAACTCGCGTAAAAAATTAATTGTTTCATTGGATGTATGACATGTGGCATTATCTAGTTAAAACGAACAATCTCCTTCATCGATTTCAAGCAACGAAATAAATTGTGTTATAACGTCTTGGTATACAACACTGTTCACTGTTGTCTTAAAGAAAATAGGTTAAAGTAGTAGGTCTCCCGGTTCTCTTCTTATTTGACACTGATCCGGTTTCACGGAAACGGGCGATTAATCTCCTTATGGTTGAATTGTTAGGTACTGCTACATTCGGATATTTTACTTGAAATTCATCAATAACACAAGCATAAGAACGGCTAGCAAAATACTGTTCAACAATAAACACACGTTGCTCGTGGGAAAACGACATGATCACAGAGCAATAATCAAAGAACTACTAAAAGCGTCGCATCATCAATACATATAATAATGAAGTCTAGATTAAATGTCGGGAATCCCGTAGTGTTATTTTAAAATAACCGATAAAAATAATTTATCATAATTACTCATACTCAGTACTCACCAGTCAGAGTAAAAACAATCATGAAACATTCAAGTTTGATAATAGTTAATATTTTAAATAAAAAGAACGTTATGATGTTGAATATTATAATATGCCTACGCAAAAGGTGACTCATATCCGTTCCAAAGGGGGGGGGGGGCAAATGGGGCAAGTGTTCTAGGGCGTATAAAGTATTATGAATTTAAGGAGCGTCATAAGAATTAATGATAAGAAAAACTAGGCGTATTTTTTTTTTAGATTGGTAAGCATTTATTTTTCGTTTATTTTAAAATATCACAGTTAAGCATCTATCAAATAGTACAATATACATATATTACTAAATATGAAATTATGTAAATAATGTGTTACATCCCTACGTGTATAAATATTACCATAGAATGTCATTAATATATTAATAATATAGTATTATACATATTATATATTTAATATATATTAATATTTATCACAAATTATGACATTTATATAGATAGTATGTACCAAGTACCATAGTCCAAAAATTTAATTTTATATTATCATATAACGAATATTATCTGTGAATCATAATTAACAAGGGTACAGATTTCATATTATGGAAAAGTACTGTAATGCGCACTATAATATAACCGAAAAACGTTAAAATATGCTCTACCCTAAAAATATAAAAAGAAAAGAAAAGTAAATCAAAATTTAATTTAATTTATTATCTTTAACTGACAGTTTTTTTATTTTTTGAAATAGTATCTACAATAATAATTATATGAATATCTATTTAAAAAAAAAATAAAATATTTTCTGTTAACAATATAAAAAATGTGGT